ACATCGTTGCACCACATCGCAGAACACACCATCTTGCAGCCATTGAAATGTGTACGAACATGGATATTTTGTAGCTCGAATTACCAATGCGTCCAACCTCTGTATAGAGAATGGATGAAGCATCTCTCTAGGCACTGCCATCTCCTCAACATTCACACTGAGAGTTTGCACTTTGCTTAGCTCGGCATTAACTTCGATGCATGGCTGGCTCATATCATTCTCCACCTCTTCAAAAGGATTCGTCCTCGAATCCGAATCTTCAATTTCTTCTTCGAGTGGTGGGGCGGTTTTGCACTTTTGATCCTCCTCGGGCTGCAACTCTAAAATATCGTCTTGCATCCCTTCAATTTTTACACCAATGCTTTCCACGATGCCTTGAACATTTTCCTCCATGGGAATTTCAATGTTATCATTCCTCTGAGGTGGTGACACGTAAATAATATTTTTCTCCTTTGTAGAATCATCCTCAATGTTGGACCACAAGTTCACGAATTGCTTGCTCGGACACTCTCCTCTCTTAGTCTTGAATTGCTGCTCGGTTTTTGATTTCTCTCTTTTAGGCTTTTGTAACGATTCTCTCACCATGCTTGCTGGATAACTCCTTTGCGATTCCCACCGCGACGAACTACGTTCTTCTAACTTAGTAGCTTGCCTCAACCCTTGCAATTGTAAGTCCCTATAATATTGTGAAGGGACGAACCTCCTTCTCATGATTGCCTTCATGGACTCCCAATCTTCAATTGGTGGTTCGCCACAGCGGCGCCTAGTTAAGACAAATTGGTCCCACCAAGTAATTGCATAGTCAATGAATGCTTCGACGGCGAGCTTCAACTTCCTCTTCTCGGAATAATAATGATAACCGAATACTTGTTCAACCTTTCTTTCCCATTGAATGTACGCCTCGGGATCACTCTTACCTTGAAAGGGTGGTATAATGAACTTCATTGAGCTACGGTTTTGATCTACTCCATCTCTTTCTCGACCAAAATATCCTCGGCTCGAAGTTTCAAATCTGAATCCTCTTCCCATACTCTCCCTCCTCGATTTTGTAGCGTTCAAACCAAAGTTTCCATAACAATCTACGTGTTTATCGGGAAAAGGTATAACTGGTTGGTGAACATCACATCGTACGTATGGCCCTCGAACATGTTGATCTTTGTTTAGTTCCTTTAGTTGGGTAACAATTCCTTCCATCCGATCTTGGAGTTCTTGGAATCGTTTTGCTATTGACGACATCCTACGCTGCTCAATTCTTTCTCCTTTATAACTGGCCTCCTCGGACATACTCAAAACATTTTTTTTTTTTGACACACTAACAAACTCTTAGACTCTAAGAAGCTTCAAACAAAAATAATTTCGAATTTTTGTTTTTTTTTTTTTTTTTTTTTTTTTTTTGGTTTTTTGGTTTGGTTTTTTTTTTTTTTTTTTTTTTTTTTCGGGACCCTAAATAAACAAAACGAAAGAGTAGAAGACTCAGCAACAATAGACACGAAACGAGAAAAACAAAACGAGGACACGAAAAAAAAGGACTGACTCAACAATCAAGATAAAGGATAGGCGAAACCTGTTTTGGATGTTGGCTCTGGTTACCAACTGATACGAACCCCGTAGAACTTGTTACGAGACCCAAATACCCTATGCGGAAGCAAGATCGAAAACACCCAAAAACAAAGATTCAAGTTTGGCGGAAGCACGGAACAATGACCCCATAGCTATAAAGAGCTAGAAACCATTATTATCAAGGTGGAATATTGACCCCGTGGTTATAAAGAACCAGAAACCAATATTATGTCGCAAAGAAAGTTACAAGAATCCACTTGTAAAATCCCGAAATTTGCTGTAGAACAGCGAAGGAGAATTAACTCTCAAAATACTCAAATATGCATTAAAATTCGTCTTAGAAAATAAGCCAAATTGGCAACCTATTTATAAGGTCTAAAAAGACTCCTTTTTCACAAGGAAAAGGACTCCTACCTAAACTATAATAAGGAAACTTGTAAATAAGCAAATCATAACCATAAAAGACTCTAAAATAATAAAAACATAATAAAACCTAAATTAAAAACGTGCATAATTAAATTAGATAACTTGATCTTCAAGTCGGCTTCTCGATCACCCTTCTTAACCCGCGACATTGGGCTGTGCACGTGCATGCAATTAAAGCTCAATTTCGACACTGTTCCACTTCGAATATATCTTCGCTCAAAACATAGAAGTTTTAGATATTTCAGTTAGCTTTCCGAATCATTTTGAATCATCTCAATCGGACTTCGTATGCGAGAGTTATAACCCGAATGGTAAACTCTGCCAGAATAGGCGAGAATCTCGGATGCATGGAATTCGACTTGTCCAACGACTTCTTCTCTTTCTTTTCTTCCAATTCCAAGCCACGGACTCTTCAATAGTCTTATTCAGCCCTTTACTCTCCATGGACAACTCGAATAATCTCTTTAAACTCGTACGCTTTCGCGTCTTCCAATTCTTTGTCATGGAGCATCTCTGGATCGTATCAATAACTTTCTCGTCCGGACTCCAAATCAACTTGTTCTGGCGGCATTAGAAAGCTAATTTAGATGGCTACAATTCCTGTCTAATGTCAAATTTCCAAATTCGGACTCGAACATGGTCAAAATTAGATTCCAAAAGCGATCATGAAAATACGTGCTACAGTGAGAGAACACGAATGCGCATCAAGAAACGTGCACAAAAACACACACTACAAAATATACGCACACAAGTAAAAGTACAAAAGCATGCACATAAGTACTCACGCAAAAGTACATTCGCAAAAAGGATCACGAAAACACAAACTACAATCTTAGGACATTAATACAAATCAACAAACATGCACAAACACACTCGCTCAAATGGACATGCACAAACGTACATATAAAAAAATATGAGCAAAAGTGCATTCGCAACAACGTTCTTAAAAACAAGAAATACAACACTAGGACTTTAATACGCATAACCAAACAATAGCAAAAACACTAAATACAAAAGATACAGTGGAGTGTAGAAATAACACTTAACGTTTACGTTTACGTGGAGTTTTTTATGGATTAATTTATATTTTTGTTTTAATTGGTGGATTTAGTATCTTCTTATAGGTACAAATTGATAATTAGGTGTCCATGAAGCAAAAATGATCAAAGAGTACGAAAAGAGTTGCGCAATTAGGAAAATAAAATCAAATTAGAAGAGAGGATCTGATATGATCCTAAATACATCCAACACGAAGAATTGGAAGACAAGGAAGAGGGAAATTCGTTGAACAAGTCGAATTTCATGCATCCCGAAAAGTCCCGTATAATTCTGGCAGAGTACACTATTTGGCTTATTACTTTCTCATCTGAAGTCCAATTAAGGTGATTCGAATTGCTACGGAAAGCCAATTTAAAAATCTAAAACTTTGCTGTTTTGATCTGAGAGATATTCGGAGTGTAAGAGGTCAGAAATCGAGCTTGAAGTGAAGACACGTGCACAGCCAAATGTCTACTCGAGTTATGAAGAATGTTCGTGTCGTCGACTTGATATTTGGAGTTTAGATTTTATTATATTACGTTTTTATATTAGGTTTATAATATTTATATTATTTTAGAGTTAGTTATGGCTAGGATTTTCTTATTTATTAGTTTCCTTATTATAGATTAGGTAAGAGTCCTTTTCCTTGTGAAAAAGGAGTCTTTTTAGATCTTATAAATATGTAGCCAATTTGGCTGATTTTAATGGACGAATTTTGATGATTTAAATGGATTTTATTCTCTTTGGTTCTTTAAGAACTGTTCGAACATTTCGGTGGATTCCGTTTGTTCACCCCGACTTATCAATCGATCTTCCGCAATCGATTGTGGCGTCTTCGCATACCAAGGTTCTTGCCTCTTTATAGGCAATGGGTCGCGGTTCCACCCCATTGAATCCTTCTTTGGACGGTCCAGGGTTTGACATCCGAAGTATTGATATCGGGTCTCGTCACGATGTTGGCGTGGTTCTTATCATTTGGTACTCAGAGCCATCTTCCTAAGAAGGTTTCGCCTATCCTTTATCTTTATTTTTGAGTCAATCTTTGTTTTCGTGTCTTTGTTTTGTTTTTGTTTGGTGTCTATTGTTGTTGAGTCTTCTAGTCTTTCGTTTTGTTTATTTAGAGTCAGTCCGTAAACAAATAAAAAAAGAAAAAAAAAAACAAAAAAAATCGAAATTTATTTTTTGTTTGAAGTTTCTTTGAGTCTAAGTTAGGTTTTGTCTAGAGTCCAGAAAAAAAAAAATCGAATAAAAAAAAAAGAAAAAAAAACGGAAGAACGAGTGAGTTTTGTTATTCGTTAATCTCGTGAACTCTATTAAGTGTGTTTCTTGTGGCGTCAACATTATAACTTTGGTTCGTGGTTCTATATAGCCATTGGGTCAAGTTGGTTGTTCCATACTTTTGGTTTGCGTTTCTATATAAACGTTAGGTCGGAGTGCTAACAAGGAAAATTTAATCTTGTTTATTGGTTGGGGAATTTCATTATTATTTGTTCGTAAAAAGAAAAAAAAAAGTTCCAAATACAGTGAAGAACTTTCTGCCTCATGGATTCGCTTTCAATACTACACGCTCATTCAAAGGATTCGAATTCGAGGACGAATTCTTTTGAAGAAAGGGAGAATGATATGATCCTAAATACATCCAACACGAAGAATTGGAAGACAAGGAAGAGGGAAATTCGTTGAACAAGTCGAATTTCATGCATCCCGAAAAGTCCCGTATAATTCTGGCAGAGTACACTATTTGGCTTATTACTTTCTCATCTGAAGTCCAATTAAGGTGATTCGAATTGCTACGGAAAGCCAATTTAAAAATCTAAAACTTTGCTGTTTTGATCTGAGAGATATT